CGCGGTCTCAGTAACAGTGTCGCGCGGTGCAAGCATGCGCCGTTGCGCTCGTTCCTGCGAAACTTCGCGCGTCTGTTCTGGAACCAGACCTGCAATGCGAGCAAACGCATTATTACGCGTCATTAAAGCCACAGGCACTTGAAACGTTTCAATTAAAATTATAATGCTAAATAAATACGAATCTCAGATACTAGTTACTACAAAATTATTTATATGTTTCTATCTACTCTCTTTACCTATTAGTTGCGACAGCTTTCCTGTACAATCCGCTGTAAATGCTCTATGCAACACATTAACGCCCGTCAGTTGCTCACTGTGACACAGTGGGACTGTTATGATATATATAGTATATATTATATTAGTGGAGCGTTGAAACAGTGCGCCGCGGAGAGCAGTGGCGATCCGGACGTAGGTCGTTGACGTAGGATTTTTGGACGGATTTCAGGAAACTGTTGGCATAATAGTGTGAAAGAGAGTAGGCCCTCTGAATAGGCTATAGAAACTATCGCGGTTATTTTTAGTTAAGCATTTATATTATTATTGAATACGGCTTAAGTGCCTGTGATTAAGCATCCTTTTACACACGAATTTCCGTCAGCCTGGGCAAGAATTCGATGCTTATTAATCGAACGACGTATTTAACTATTGACTTCCGTATTTCCCGACTAGTTGTGTTAGTTGGGATGTAGTGTATCCTGTGATAATATAGTCCTGGGGCCCGTTGTCGAAAACAAAATTAGTCTTAACATTAGTCTTAACACAACATTTTCTGCGTAGATCGATCGACAGCGGCGTTTGTTTCCTGATTGTTATAGGGAAAGTTGGCTACGATTTTTTCCATTCAGGCAACTTCGCCAAGCGTTTTCTGTCGACGGCGTCTAAGAGAAAAAGTTCATGTTAAGACTAATGTTAAGACGTAATTTTGATTTCTGACAACGGGCCCCTTGATCTATACTCCGATCAGTACATCCTGGAGGTGTTTGCTCTGGCCAAACTCACTAGGGTTGGGGGGGGGGGGGACTATAATGTGAATGAGGTAGCTGGTATGCCATAAGCGTATAGATAAAGTATGAGGTTGAAATAAGATACAAGAAAGTTGGTATAGAAGTTAGTGTTAGATTTCATACCCCGGAAATTTTGATCCTTTCATTCAAAGTTATCTGCGCAGGCCCAAACTAGATGCGCGTAAAATGCATCGCTTACAAAAGACACAAAGTTGTAGCATGCGCGTTGACCTGCGCATGTCAGTTTAGCTTGTGTACGTTCACTCTGCAGACAGACTACTTGTCGCTTTTATGATGGATCCCAAATAAAGGACTACGCGCATGCGATTACGAAATTTTTGGTGCGTGCGCCGGGCGGGGGTCGGCACCGGATGGTTACACAGTTAGCGCGGGTAACTTAGCTGCGGCTGCATAACTAGCACTGATTTCTAGACGGGCTGGCCCACATCCATTTTGCGGCTAGCAAAATTATGAGTCCGGACTAAGCGCTTAGATTTTTAGGCGCCGGCTCGTATAGCGTGATACCACTGAAAAAATTCATGTGCGCATCAGCCCGACTAGGTTTGAATGTGGGATCAATTTTGCAGTCTGTACGCGGTATAAGTATTTGGGCGAGCCTATGGGCGATAGGCCAATTTTTTTAGTTACTTTAGAATTTAAATAGCTCTTCGTATTGCGCGAATGTATTGATTTTTATACGTGATAATATATGCAAGAACGCATCACGTTATGATCATGCGATTTCCGTTCATGTCGCTAAGGATATTACGAGCGCGCGATTCTACGGTGGCGCAGAGTGAAAGAAAAACAGAAGAATGTCGGATTAACGTCTGTGTAAAAGGTAAACGCGGGTACACGGAGCGTTTGCTTCGGTGGTATAATTACAATTAAAAGGAATAAGCGCCCATTCAAATCAGTTGATTATGCACAAAGGTTGACGAGGATTGCTTACAGTAACATGGCACATGTCTACTAGACTCATTGTCGTTATAATGGCATCCCGTTGACAAACAGATTCTGGCTGTTCAACACCGATAGTATCAGTGTTGATGCCGCTTCTACGCGAATTCGAATCGGCTATTTCTTGCGTCAACCAATTTAGCTCCTCCTATGGCGCCAGATTACCAGATTTACTGAGATTTTATATTAAGACCATTTCGTAGTAATTAGCAGTGATATTGGAAAACTAATACGCGGATTTGGCTATAAATTCGGGTATGTACTATATTATAACGTACAGGAAGGTACTGGTTAATTGCTGAGAATTCGTCACTTTGCCCATTATCAATGGGCGCCTAATTATGCCCTTTACATGATAGACGCAAGCTGATTAAAATGTTAACACCAATCAACTACGGCAAACGCACGACTCCAAAACATAGGCGCCCTGTCAAAACAATGATAATCCTGCGGCGCAGTTGCACGCCATCTATACCTTGTCTGCCTGCAATCGGAAGCGTTGTTGGCTGGGTGGAGTTACGATTGGTGCACTGTGCGCTTCCTATGCTACGACGTGGTTGATAGGATATGGTGGCTCGTCCGCGCGTGGCCGGTGGCACTAGCAATCCTGGGGCTGTGGCGTCGGCTACTATTGTTTAGGGGGCGATGGTGAGATGGAATTGGTTGGGATGTCGTGTGGACGTGACTAGTCATCCTGGCGCTGTATGGCGTCCGCCTACTATTGCCCTAGGGTGGTAAGTATGGTAATGGTTGGAGATGCGTTGGTGGGTGGACTAGCATCCTGCCGCGCTGCTGGGCGTCGCATTATACATAATTGTAGGGGTGGATGAGATGGAATGGTGGGAGGTTGAGTGGGTGAACTAGGCATCATGGGGCTGTGGCGGTCCGCTACTATTGCCTAGGGTTGGCTGAGAAATTGGAATGGTGAGGAGCGTGTGGGTTGGGACTAGCATCTGCGGCTGTGGCGCTCCGCCTCTATTAGCAGTAGGGTGGTTTGAGCATGGCTAATGGCTGGGAGCGTGGTGGGGACTAGCATTCCTGCGGGGCTGTGGTCGTTCCCAGCTACTATTGTCGTAGGCGAGCGTGAGGATGGGAATGGTGGGAGCGTGTGGGCCGTTGACTAGCATCCTGGCTGTTTGGGGGCGGCGTTTTTTTTTTTCATTTTTTACCGAGGGAGGGAGAGAGAGAAAGGGAGCGCGAGACGGAGAGAGAGAGAGAGAGAGAGAGAGAGGGAGAGGGAGAGAGAGAGAGAGAGAGAGAGAGAGGGAGAGAGAGAGAGAGAGAGAGAGAGAGAGAGAGGGAGAGAGAGAGAGAGAGATAGGGAGAGAGAACGCGATACGGAGAGAAAGAGAGAGAGAGAGAGAGAGAGAGAGAGAGAGAGAGAGAGAGAGAGAGAGAGAGAGATAGGTAGGTAGGTAGAGAGCGAGAGGAGGTATTCCCGCGCCAACGCATTCCTACCACTCATTAACTTTAGCGTGAGCGTCGGGCGCGGAAGATTGGCGCCCTAACCAGCAGCAGATGCGAGCGCATGTCAATCACGCGTGCATCGTGAGGCGCACGCCGCAAGCTTCATCATCAAACGGAAGCGAAGCTGTTGCATTCGTGCCTGAAAAACGCCGACGCTGCTGCTGCCGCCGCCGCTGCTGCTGCTGCTACTACTGTCGCTGCTGCTGCCGCCGCCGCCGCTGCTGCTGATACTGCCGCCGCTACCGCTGCTGCTGCTGCCGCCGCCGCCGCTGCTGCTACTACCGCCGCTGCTGCTACTACCGCCGCTGCTGCTGATACTGCCGCTGCTGCCGCCGCTACCGCTGCTGCTGCTGCTGCTACTACCGCGGCTGCTGCTGATACTGCCGCTGCTACTGATACCTCTGCCGCGTGCAATGTGTGTCCCGCTGCCCGCGGACGATTGCGTTCGGATTAGGTTGACGATTGCGTGGAAAAAGCGCGCAGCTTCTTCCGGAAGATGGGGACGAGGATGCTTTCGCGCCGCGGTTCATTCCGGTTTTTGCGCGCGTTTCAAACGCAGCGACGGCAAACGGCGCGTAATCGCTGCAACGAAACATTGTATCGAACAATCACCTTCATGTCAGTATACTTTTTCGTTACTTTCATTCGTTATACTTTCACGCGCCGCCGATGTCGTTTTACGCGCGTCTGCGACAGATCGCAACAGTTCAATGGGAAAAAGAAAGAAAGAAAGAGAGAGAGAGGGAGAGAGAGAGAGAGAGAGAGAGAGAGAGAGAGAGAGAGAGCGTGCGAGGAAGAGAGAATGATAGAGAGGAAATAGGGGCGAACAAGAGGGAGGGATAGAAAAGCGAGAGCGAGCGAAAGAGAGAAAGAGAATCTCTTTCACCTATTATTGCCGACAGTTTCCTGTCAATTCCGTGTAAATGCTCTATGCACACACACTAACGCCGCCATTGCTCACTGTGCACAGTAGTACAGTGACTGTTAATATATATAGTACTATATATATATTAGTGTAAGCGTGCAACAGTCGCGCCGCGAGAGCAGTGGCATCCGGCAGCGTACGTTGGACGTAGGATTTGGACGGAATTTACAGGAAACTGTTGGCAATAATAGGTGAAAGAGAGTAGGCCTATAGGCTATAGAAACATCCGTATTTAGTTAGCATTATATTTTATTGAAACGCTTCAAGTGCCTGTGATTAAAGCGTCCTTCCTACACACGAATATCCGCAGCTGGCAAGAATTCGATGCCTATATCGCACGACGTCTAACTATCGATTCCGCTTTCCCCGACTAGTTGTGTTAGTTGGGATGTGTGTGTGTACTCCTGTATACATATAGATCAGGGGCCCGTTGTCAGAAAAAAAATTAGTCTTAACATTAGTCTTAACACTAGTTAACACTTTCTCGTAGATCGTCGACAGCGCTTTGTTTCCTATTGTTATGAGGAAATCTGCTACGATTTTCCATTCAGGTAACTTCGCAGCGTTTCTGTCGACGGTCTAAGAGAAAAAAATCATGTTAAGACTAATGTTAAGACTAATTTTGTTTCTGACAACGGGCCCCTGATCTATACTCCAGATCACGTACATTCGGAGTGTGCCTCTGGCCAAACTCATATGGTTGACTATAATGTGAGGAGGTAAGCGTATGACAAATATAAGATAAAGTATGAGGTTGAAATAGATACCAAGAAAGTTGGTAAGAAAGTTAGTGTTAAGATTTATACCCCGTAGACTGCAAAATTTGATCCTTTATCAAACTTATCTGGGCCAGGCCCAAACTAGATGCGTGCTAAATCGCATCGTACAAAGACTCAAAGTGTAGCATGGGTTGACTGCGCATGCTCAGTTTAGCTTGTTACGTCACTCTGCAGACAGCTACTGTACTTTTATGTGACCCAAATAAGGCTACGCGCATGCGTATTACGAAATTTCGCGCGGGTCTGGCACCGGATTGCGTACACAGTTTAGAGCGGTCTAACTTAGTACGGGCTAACCTAGCACGCTTCTAAAGGAGCCTGGCCCACCTCCATTTGCGGGGCTAACTTAGTCCGGACCAGCGCTTATTTAGCCCGGTATAGCGTGTACACACTGCAAAAATTCAGTGCGCATCAGGCCCGGACTAGTTTGATGTGGGATCAAAGTATAGGAGCCTTGGGCATAGGCCAATTTTTCTTACTTTAGATTTAAATAGCTCTCGTATGCGATGTATTGATTTTTATACGTCATATATATCAAGAACGCACACGTATGATCATGGATTCTCGTTCATGTCCTCTAAGGTATTACGAGCCCGGATTCGTAAACGGTGCGCGGCGTAAAAAACAGAAGAATGTCGCTTAACGTCGTTAAAAGTGAAAGCGGATGACGGCGTTTGTTCGCTGGTAACTTACCATTAATGATACGCACTGATAAAATTTACACCATCCCGTACGGAAAACGCGACTCCCAAAACAAGGCGCCCTGTATAAACAAATGTAATCGGCGTAGTGTGCCTGCGATCGGAAGCGTGTGACTGGTAGGGTTAGTGGCGTGACTGGCGTCCGCTCCTATTGCTAGGGTGGTGAGATGGAATGGTGAGAGCGTGTGGGTGACTAGCATCCTGGGGCAGTGGCACTGGGACGTGAGGTGGCTAGAATATACAAGGGTTTAGGATGGCGTGGTCGAAGGACAGCGGTGTCAATACTGACTGCACTTGTGCAAGACGGGGCTCGCTTGACAGGAAGGTACTAAGAGTAATATGAAAAAGAAAAATCGGTGGGATGTGGAGCTAGAAGGGGGAGCCCAGGGGAACGGGAGCCTAGGAAAGGGGCGAGCCCGGTAGAAGGGAAGCCCTGTGAGAGGTTGCTCGATGGAGGGGAAGCTTAGAGGAGGGCGACCCTGAGGAGGAGGGGCCGAGGGAGGAGGGAGGAGCCGCAGGAGAACCCGAAAGAAGGAGGAGGGGCCGAGGGAGAAGGGAGGAGCCTATCAAGGTTCCGAGAGGGGAAGCCGGACGAGAGGAAGAGGAAGGCGGCGGCCGCACGAACCTGCACCCGCGCCTCGCTGAGGTTGATCCTGCGCGCCAGCTCCTCTCGCACGTACGCGTCCGGGTAGTGCGTGCGCTCAAACACACGCTCGAGCGCGCTCAGCTGCGTGCTCGTGAACGTCGTACGATTCCGCCGCTGCTTCTTCGAGCGCGGACTCTCGCCCGCCGCCGAGTCGATCGTGCCGCCGCCCGTGCTGCCACCTGTAGGCAGACGAACGCAACGTCTCGTTAGTTATTCGACCGCGTCTCTGCAATCTCTTGCCGTCACTCGCACAGGCACTCGAAGCAATTCAGCTTACAGTCACGCCACACGCACACCGCTGCACATCTACACACACATATATATCAAGAGTCCATAATAGAGAACTCTATTATGAACGCTTATATATATATATATATAAGTGCCTGTGGTCACTAGGCATCTACGACTCAAACTAGGGGCGTAAATCCGTACCGAGGAGTGGGGGGGATGATCACGCGAAGGGGGGGTCTGGGGGGCCCTCCCCCGGAAATGTTTTGAAATTAGACCCCCTCAGATGCGTTTTCTGCGCGACCAGGGAGGGGGTCCGGACCCCCTGGTCCCCTTCCCCTACCCTGTACACGCCCCTGCAGTAATTGAAACGATTTAGGTCTGCCCATGTCTCTAAATTATCATAATTAGCTGAACTTTCAAGTGGGGGACGGAGGAAGGAGTTTTTTTTTTCGAATCTCAGGGGGGGATA